TGAGAGCTTAGTTTTCAGACTGAGCTCTGCTTTCGTCACAACGGGTCGGGCTAGTTCACGCAGAACGCCAATCGCTACTTCAATTCGCCGGTCGATCTCTTCCTCCAACTTTCCATCACTAGTAAATATAGTTCCGAGGTACTTTAACTTTTCCGCCTGCTCCACTACCTCTCCGTTAATCTGAAAAGAGCAACGGGCAGGAGAACGAGAAAGCACTAAGCTTTTCGATTTAGATGCGTTCACACGCATGTCGGTCACGTCGCACTCGGCTGTGAACCTTTCTGGGTGTACTGAAATCAGTTTCAGAAGATGCTGATAAAACAAAGTCGTCTGCAAGCAACAGCGTCTCGTCTTAACGTATTCTACACCGATAGGCTCCTGACTTTTCTCTCCATGTACAACATAGACATTATAGGGGACAGGACGCAGCCTTGGCGGAGGCTAGTGCGAACGTTGAATATTTTAATGTGGGTAGTACCTTGAGTTACTGTAATTGCGCGACTATGAAAAAATGGAAGTAATTCTTTAAAATCTTGATTACTAGGGAAGTCGAAAAGTGCGAAGACGCAGCTCATGTCTACAAGGAAGGATGCAAAATTGAATAGTTTGGCATAGTCGACCCGCACTGCTTTGTATCCTTCCTGGATCCTTGATATTCCCCTAACAACCCACTTGTTATTGTAAACTCGAAACATACACCAAATGAATGGAGCTCCCCGAAAGACTCTCATGTCATAGTGATTGGTTATTCCAGTCTTGAAAATGAAGAGTTGAAAGATTTCGAAGAAGCGGCAGATGATTTTATGGGCGAAATAAGGTTCTTTGTAGTTGTCGATTTTACCGTATATTTTCTCCAGTATCAACTTCGTTTAAAATTTTGCAGCGTCTTATTTTGTGCCTAAACAAATTGGTTAGAATTTACAGGGATAGGCTGCTGGCAGCAGCGTTGTAAATAGATTACTGCGTTTTGTCGTTCCTCCGTAAATTCCATATGGCATCACATCTGACTTTCTAAAGAGATTCCTTATGTTGTCTTTTATTTGATGCCCGAAAACCTTCCAGTGCTCTTGCCGAAAGGATACAGGTAAATGACCTGTGGGCTGTGAAGCTTGGTTGGTTACGATGCTGTAGCTCCCGTCGTTGTTTATAAAGACGAGGAAGAAATTGTAGCCAAAGTCTAGATTCGCGAAAAAGCATAGTAAGATCATTTATCATACTATAACATCGAGAATGAAGAGAAGAGTGAGCTTGAGACCCAAAAGAACTGCAGTGTAATAAATAACATTGGTGAAGTGATGAATTGGATGAACAGACCAAAGTTATTGTGATCATCTTCATCTGTCGCTTTTACAGAATATTAAGATCTGTATGACGAAGAAATGCCATCAGCTCTCTCCTGAAAAGACAATATCGGACTGTTTTTAAAAAAAGATTAATACCGCGGATTGCTGATAACGCATTTGTCCACTCTATTCCTTAAAATTCGCGTTATAACAGGATTTTATTTTTTTGTCTACAGCCTAGTTGTAATTTTTGGGATGGTGAAGTTTCGTAGTGAAACGAAGCTGCTAGTTTAACAGGCTGTTAAATATATGCGAATCGGGTTTGTGACATTCTGCAATATCCGTACGCTAGAGGATGCGGTTTACAAGAGGTTTTAGCCACAATAACGTGTTGTAATCCTCCAAATCTCATGATTGCCCTAATGCATTTCCAGCGGCGCAACATCACCTTCTGTTAACGATCGGCGACTATATCCGGTATATTAATTGCTGAATCCGAATTCATCTAAACCTATGATACTGTATTAACGAATGAAATCAGCTGCCAGAGCTTTTCAGTTAGACGGAATTGATCCTAAAAGTTACATAGCTCAAAATTCTATCTATTTCTTTGTTTTTTATTTTTCATTTACCCTTTGTTGCTCTACTCTTAAACCGCTCCGCTCCATTTTGGACTTAACGTATAACTTGTCCGACAGTTGTTCTAACAAAGGAGCGAGAACGACGGTTAACTGCATAGAGTAGTATTGCTTTCGATTCATATTGGTGGTTAAATGACAAGGTCACTAAGGAAGGACTCTGTTCTCTCCAAACACAGGTGACCGTAACGAATGTGGGGTGAGTGAGAGAAGGACAATATTAGACACATTGGTTGAGGAAAAACACAACAGACTTCGGTCAGAAGCCAGCATGCAGCCAAGAGAAACAAGGTGGTGGCATACCTTATTATAAAACCAGTATTTTCTTCTGCGATGCAGCAGCTGGTGCTATGTGGCGAAAATATTTTAAGGCTGTGAATGCAACGGGCGTCACTAACCAGAGACGTTCTGCTTAAGGTGATCACAGGCCCTGACGTATTGTATTGCATATTGCCCACATTGTATGTACATCCATTGGTGTTTATTGTTGCCCTTCTAAAGGAACACTGCTGTGGGTTTCAACATGCTTCGAATTGAATGAATATCTTTTTTGGGTTAACTACTGTTTGTGATGGCTTTGTTTATTGGTTTCAAAAGTATTATTTTCTAACGTTTGTAAATCTACTTGTTTTTAGATGTTCGAGCTGGAAGCCATTCTTCAAGTCATCAGCAAACAGGAAACCTCTTTCGACCGACGACAGCTGTACGCTTTTTTACTCATCGCTTGCCGTAAAACAATCTCATAGAATTAAATGCTTTTTGGCTACTTTTTGGTTGTTTCCAGGCAATACCGCTGATTGCCAGACGGCCTCAAAGGTTTGGCAAGCGATGAAAGAGGAATCGTTGACCCCATCAGAGCGGGAAATCATTCTGTTCAACAAGATTTTCATGGAAAATGGCCAACAAGTACCAAGCGACCTTCCCGTAAGAATCGATGTGGTGTTTTTGATGGTTTTTGGAACGATCTCTTTCAGGCTCCTTCCAAACGTTCCGAAGACAATTCTGCGACCAGGGGCACCACTCCCAGAGAAAACGATTTTTTTGAAGGAAGGACTAAACCACTCGAAAGGACTCTTCAGTCGTTGTTGTTGGACAGTGAAGTCATCGCAGTGATTCGCCAGGTGATTCGGCTTACCGTGATCCACGAATGACGTCACAAACTTTCATTGTGCTTTTTATTTTC